TCATGACCTTTGCGATCCTTGTAACATTGATGGTTGAACAAAGAACTGTGTACACTCTTGCTACTAAGAGTATGGTCCATAGGCCAGTAGCATTAGAATGACATTGGGTCTATTAGGAATGCAGAATCTTGGTCCCCAGCTCCAGGTCTGCTGAATCAGTATATGCATTTTACCAAGGTTCTTAGGTTATTAAAACATTACTAGCCCTAGCTGGTTTGGTTCAGTAGATAGAGCGTCGGCCTGCGGACTGAAGGGTCCCGGGTTTGATTCCGGTCAAGAGCGTGTACCTCGGTTGCAGGCTTGATCCTCAGTAGAGCGTGCAGGAGGCAGCCAATCAATGATTCTCTCTCATCATTGATGTTTCTATCTCTCTCTCTCCCTCTCCTTTCCTCTCTAAAATCAATAAAAATATTTTTTAAAAAAACATTAACTAAGTCAGTGGATGGATCTCAACTCTAACTACACATTAGCATCACTTAGGGTGTGTTTAAAGAGTTTCTCAGGCCTTACCCCAAAGCAATTAAATCAAACTCTTTAAGGGCAGGACCAAGAAATGGGTATTTTATCATGCTCACCATGATTTTAATATGCTTCCAAGTATGAGAAGTATGTGTTACACAATGCCCAAACCATCAGTGAATTCAGCATGTTCTGAAAGGGGGGAAAAGGGAAAAAAGAAGTCAAACCAATTACTTTATATTTGGTATCACTCTATAAATGATTGATTTTCTTAACTGTTAATATGTTTGCTTAGCTACTGTGTGAACACAGCCTATTATGTCTCAACCTGCCTAAAAGTGTATTGTATTTTAAATCAAGACCAGGAACACTTTGCTTTCCAAATTAATTAAAAGTAGATTTTAGATTTGTTTTTCAACTTTACTTCCTTTTGCCAACCTTATTTTCCAACCTGACAGGTCTAACTGCTGAATCCCAGACATTGCACATTCAAACCACGACACCGTTGAGTTGCCCTCCCTTTTCTCCATGCACTCAGTTCTCAGATTTTACCCCAAACATTCCCTTATCACTTCAGCCTACTTGATTTTCTCTCCTCTGAATTTAGATGTTGCAGCTGTGTCTATCATACACTCTCACTCTATGGTCTTATATTGTTAGCTCCACTTAGTGGAATGAAATTACCTGTTGTTGTTTTTTAATTTCTACATAATCTCAAGCATTATCAATCTATTACAAATTGTCATGTAGGACTAGAAAAGGAAACAATAAATCATAACATAGTACTTATGTTAGTCATTATTATTCCATTTTATAGATGAGAAGGCTGAGTTTCAGAAAGGCAAGGTGACAGGCTAGTAATTTGCAACACTAAGATGTGTTTCCCAAGACTATTTGATTCAAAGTACAGAGAAAGATTGGTTTGCTTTCATTTTGTGTGTATTTCTAATGTAGTACTTTATTTTTATTTTTTTAATCTTCACCCAAGGATATTTTCCCATCGATTTTAGAGAGAGTGGAAGAGAGAGGGAAAGACAGAAATATTGACGTGTGAGAAACACATCAATTGGTTGCTTCCGGCATGAGTCCTGACCAGGGCCCGGGCCTGGGAGGAGCCTGCAACCAAGGTATCCTTAGGGGACCCATAGGTCCACAGGTGCCGGGAGCCGGTCCATCCTTGCTGTTTCAAAGGACCTGGCATATATGGCATACTGTTCTTAATATGTTTGCTCACCTTCTTGGCACTATGTGTTTTAACCAAGGTCTCCTCTCTGAGAAAGGTTGTTTCCCCAGGTAGGGATTTTCCCCTGAAGTTAGGGAGGGAATAAAACCCCTCAACTAAGTGCCAGGTGGGTAATTAATCACTTTAACTATGAACAATCATGCTGAAGCTACATAATCTTTACTCCCTGGAATGGAGATAAGAAACGCCCTAACCTTTGTAATAGAGATTGATAGGATTGAATCAACTGGTATAAATACAGATGTAACAAGACAGCAACACACAGAACTTAGAACACAGAACTTGGAAGACAGAACTTAGAAGACAGAACCTACACAGAGCCTAGAGACAGAAGAACTTCGCTGGAGAGAACATGGCAAAAGATCCTGGGCTGAACCTGACTACAGAAATTGGCAAGAGAACCTGACTAGAACCTGGTGACTGAACCTGGCAGGAGAACCTGGGCAGAACCTGGCTGGAAAACCTAGCAAGGGAACATGGCTACAGAACCTGGCTGGAGAACCTAGCGAGGGAACATGGCTACAGAACCTGGCTGGAGAACCTGGAGAACCTAGCAAGAGAACATGGACACAGAACCTGGCTGGAGATCCTAAGCAGAACCTCTCTGGAGATCTAGACCAGATCCTGGCTAGAGAAACTGACTGGGCTGCTGATCAACTGAACGCTGTCTCCATGTCCTTCCTTCTTCGCTGACTCCGTCCACACCTTTGGGGACCCCTGGACCTGCTGGGGTTGGACCCCAGCACACAGGTCGACACTCTATCCACTGAACCAAATGGCTAGGACTCTAATATAATACTTTAATTATAATTCTAGGGCAGATTAAGCATATGAACACACTAACACATACTGAAAGAAGACTCTTCTTAAAATCAGTGTCCACTCTTATGAGAGTTATTATTATTTTTGCACTAATTTGGTTTCTTTTGAAAGAAAAGTATTGAAGCTTGATGGAAAGGAGCAAGGAAAAGTCATCATAGTATATTTATTTTTATAAAATTACTTTTTATTACATAAATAATACCTGATAATGTTTTCTTATAAAAAATTAAAACATTACAGATATGGCTAAATCTCTTGTCCAACACCCCCATGCCCACATCGTGCAGTTTACTCATTCTCTATATCTTTATGCCTCCTAAGAAATAATCATTGCTATCTGTCTACATCCTTTAAGACATTTTAAATGTATTTAAATACAAATATAGGGTATATCATGATAATTTTTATGATGTCAACTTTTGGTGTATTGTCATCCAAAACAAAGTACTCTTGGTAGTTTTATTTGTATGTCAAATGTGAAAGACCTGAGGAGGATATCAAATTCAGGGGTTGACAGAATTAGGATTCAAAGTTATATCTCAACCCTATGGAATAATACACTAAAGCTAGAAAGATAAAAATTTAGGTAGCATAAATATCAAAGTGCAAGTAAGAAATGGAGAATTTTGGTTTGACATTAGTTTATATGAAAAAGATTTAGAGATTTGTTTATCACAGGTCCAAAAATTTAATAAAACTTCTAATGCTTTGAAAAGTCACTAGTTCTTATCTCTAAAATAGGACTCTATTAAGTATATCTGAAATTATCTCAGCATATATAATTTTAAAAAGAAAATCATAGATTGAGTAAACTGTGTATAATATAGTGGGCTAGTAATTTTAAAATCTGGGACTTATTTTGTGAGTTAGTATATTCTTTATATATGTTTTTCTTTTTCATATAGAAGCATTGTCAAGTAAAAGAAAATCATTTTTCCTTCCTTGTATCAAATACTTTAGTTTTTATTACAGTACAAAATATGTGTTATAGACCAGATTATTTTAGCATGAAAAATTCCTGTGATAAGGGATTGCAATAGCATTCCTTCCCAATGTGGATGTCTTCTCAAGTAAGCATCTTGCCCTGTGGAATTAATCTCACTGATTGTAAAGCTAATTGTCTATTATGATAACATATCTTAGTGAAAATTGCTCACATGTAGCATTCTTTGCCTGAATATCAGGGGTTGGGGTATGGGAAGTTGGGGACATTCTCTGCATGAGACATTTGCCTTCCCATACTTTGCCTTGCGTGAAAAGACAGGTTTTGAAGAAAAAAAATTCTAAAAAGAAAATTTATAGCCTTTAATACACTGATTACCTGAAAAGCTTTTCCAACATCTGTGAATATCATTTTTGTGTGTGTTTAATTTCAGATACATTAAGAACTGATTATATAGGGCACAAGAAAGTATCTATATATATAAAAGTCTAAGCGACCATTATGACTGAATAAGTAGAAAGACCAGAACTCCTGTAGAACAGTCGCTATGATGCTTACTGACCACCAGGGGGCAGGCACTCAACACAGGTGCTTCCCCTTCGTGGTCAGTGTGCTCCCACAGCCAACCTCCCACAGTCAGCCAACCTCCCGTAGTCCCTCTCCTCGTGCCCCCCGACCGCCAGCCAGCAGGCCCCGGTAGGCTCAGCCCCTATCGGGACTGGGTGAGATGGCACTGATTGGCTCTGATCGCCGGCCAGGCCTAGGGACCTCACCCATGCATGAATTCGTGCACCGGGCCTCTAGTAGGTTATAAGAGATACATTGACTTTCCTTTCCTAAAGGAAGATGAATATTATGTTCTTGTATTATGACCTTGACTGATCATAAGATGCAGGTGACTATGAGCCTTGACCTCTTTTTAAATGTTTTCTTTTTTCCTAAATTGAAAGTAACCTCTCACATTAAGTATTTTAGAAAATGGAACCCTGACTGACAAGGAACAGACTAAATCAATGAAGCAAGTATACTGGTATATTTTTAAGAACTCCAAACCATGGTGTTTGTTTGAATGTATCTGTCTATTCCCTGATGTCTACCATACCACATGAGAAGGAGATCCAAGGTCTTTATTACTGGCTTCATTCCACAGTATCAGACCAATAATAGGTGTTTATCTACCAATGTGAGCTGCTCCAGATAGCTGCTCATTGTAATTCTCCAGTTTCCCTGCCCCAAGGAAATATCTGTAGCTCAGATCTGTCTAATTAACCAGTATGTGAAGAATAGAAAATTGTGAGACAATCCTTATGCTTATTGTTGCTGGGCTTTAAAAAGCTCAATAAAGTTTCTATCTACATTTTCTTGTTTATACTGTGGAGCAAAATGGATCAAACAAGGAAAGATTTGTGGTCACAGAGTCGGTGCCTTTGTACAATATAACACATACTGTGAATCAAAGAAATATTGGGCCACTTCTCTGAAGCTGACATTGGAATGACATTGTAATCCTGGCCATCTGTCTTCCTCCTCTAGATATCGATGAATGTGCGGTGGTGAATGGAGGCTGCCAGCAGCGCTGTATTAACACTCTGGGCACCTTCCACTGTGAATGTGATACAGGATACAGACTCCATGCTGATGAACGCACCTGCATAAGTGAGTAAATATTAGGAGCAGCTTGAAGCCATTTTCAGTGAAAAATCAACCTGCCTATGTAGGGATAGGAGAGAAAGGTTTTTCTAGTGTAATAGTATCTATAGTAGTTGACAGTTTACAAGCACAATTCTTTTAGAATGAAAAAAAAGAGGTGGTTTTTTTTGTTGGATTTTTTGCTACTAATAAACTAAAAGACAAAAAAAGATGGGGAAGGGAATATATAGTAGAAATTAACATTCACAAGCCAAATTTGAATCCCCATGTGGGTGAATATATCCATAGCAAATCATTCTGCCATATGCCATAAAGGAAAAATTAGTTAGTTGTTGCAAATACACAAGGAGCCCCAATGAAAGGAGGTGGTCGGACTATACAGTCACTACCTACAGTGTTCACTCATTTCAGACCCAGACTCAGAAATGGACTCATGATTATAAAAGCAAAAATTATAACAGACTATATGCCAATTTTAGAGTTGCTCAAGAATAGTTAAAACTATACACACTAAACAAGGTTACTATGTATTTATTGTACATCAAAATGTTCTTAGATATTTTTGTGGGTGATTATTATTTTATGTATTTATTATTATTATTTGTATTTTTTTTAATTTTATAAGTTTTTTAAACTGACTATGTGCTTTAATACACAGAAAACTTCCCAATAGAATGCATTTTTAAAATATTGTGCTTCCTGTATGATTTAGTACTGCTCTGATTTTGTTTTAGCTGGAGTAGTTTACATAAAAGTGGTGAAGTGTTTTTTTTCTCATTGAATTATGACCCTCAAATGACATCAGGACACACTCTAATTTTATCAGCAGGTCCCTTTTAAAAATATTTATTATATTAAAAGAGTGGTGCCTGGAACGGCACAATTTAATTGCTGGTTTGATTTATTTAGGGCTTGTAGACTAGTCCATTTATTCAAAATTACTAGTATTTTATAAGTAGTCTATAATTGTGAAACTTAGAGTAGAAACAAGCTAATTACCCTAGTTTCATAACATACTCCCTTTCTTTTTGTGAACATCTTGTAGAAAAAGAGAGAAGGCCAAGAGAAATAACCAAAGATGTCCTAATCATAAGTCTAATTTTTTATAAGAGCAAATGGAGATTCCCAGTGGCAGAAAGTGACTTTTCCAAGGTTGAATAAAGATACAAATATATGTCATGCCCTAAAATCCAAGGAACTCGATATGTGGACTGATTGTATCTGCAGCAGCACAAGTGTTGGTGGGACATGCATAGTTACATGCAGAATTACTGGTTTTAGCAATAGGCACCTCTTTCCCATCCCCACCCCAACCTGTAAGGTGTCCAGCTAGTAACATCCTTAAACTGCCACCATCACTTCTCTCAGTTATATAGAGAAGCAACAGAATTATCAAGACATGCAATTGCACTACTTACAGTGAAGGTTGAGCTGGTGAATTATTGTGTCAGATATAAAAGTATTTTGCAAAGTAATTATGTGTATAAATCTATAATGTCTGGTCTTTGTGATAAGGCAAAGTAAATAGTAGCCAACAAAATTCTATTTACCGATAAAATTAATTAGATAAACCCTGGCAGTTATTAACTATTTCTTAGTAAAATCATTAAACTCTTTCCTTATTCCTCACCACCACAACCCTTGAATTTTCCAATTTTAGTTTTAATGACATCAGGTCAAAAGTTGAGTTAGGTAAGGATATTATGATTTATCTTTTCTATTTCTACTCCTTAAATCACAATTCCTATTGTACAAAAACATTGACAATATGATAATGGCTTATTTACAGTTCCATATGGTGATCTGCTCCTTATGCAGAATTTCAACATAGTGTAAAATTAAGCTTATGAAAAAATGCACTCATTTTAAAGCATTTAACCCATCAAATGGCATTCTGCAGAAAGTACTGGACTGAGGCCAGCACTTGCCCTTCATGGAAGTTTTGATGCCTTTCTCATATGCATAAACTGAGGTTTTGGTTTCAAAGAATGGTCATAAGAATCTCATTTGATGCAGTTAGAAGAATTTTAGCCCTTCATATTTAAAGATTAATAACCTGTGTGAGGACAAGAATTTTTTGTTTGCTTATTTGTTTTGAAAGAAAGGGTTTACTTGGAGAACTGGGTTTCACATTAGTCTAGATTTTGAGTGTTAGTGTACGAAGTGTCAGATTTTTTTAAAAAACAGGAAATTAAGTTAGCTCACTTTCCCTGTGGGAGTGTTTACCTGGCAGGCAACTGAGAATTGTAGTAGACAGAAATGCATCCTGACCCATGGCAGAGTCACAAAAGAGAAGATGGAGTTATGGGATTTTATGATTCTACTACTTTGGAGTTCTTGAAATTAATTGCCTCCATTTCCTTCCTCCTCCTCCCTTCTTTTCTTTCCTTTGCTCCATTCTGCCCATCAGTCACGGGCCTACTCTAGTGTGACTTTTTGAATTAGAGCCTCCAGCACTTTTTCCACTTTCTTTTAATCACAACTACAGGAGAGTGAACTCTCTTCACCCCCAACCTCAGAGTTTCAGATGATTTCTCTTCAAAAACGAGTCCCCTCTCTCAGGGCTGTGCACTTGTGGTGATACATGGTCAGCAGTTACCAATCAGCCTGTGCCAGAATGATAAAGTCCCACAAAGAGGTGTAAGAGAAAGGGTCCAGAGTAGTTGGCCGGAAGCATGACAGTCCCTTCCCCACAGAGAGGTGGCATCAGGAAAGCCAGTCTGAGGATGTCCCATGGGTGAGGAGGATCACAGCAAGTGAAACCCCCTGCACCAGGCTGGTGGCAAGCCACCAACACAGCACAGGACATTGTGGAACTCTTGCCAGATTTGATTTGCTGATTTGGTCTCCATAAACACAGATATTACCAAGCAATTCATATACGTTTAAATTTTCCTGTATTTGGTAACCAACAACTTAAAAAAAATGGAAACTAGATTTTAGCAATCACCAGAAAGACAGATGTTTATGTTGTTAGTTCACCATTAAATCTTGTCCTTGTGGACTAGGGACAATGGCACCACGGAATCCAAGTTGGCATGTGGCCTTCAGCTTAAGCTCTTAAATCACTTAATCTGTCCACACTCCAGATGCCTCATGTGTAAATTGTAGAAATTGGGCAAAGTGACTGTGAAGTTATTGTGTCTCTGCAGTGTAATGATTTTACTGAGTTTCCATAATTACTATTTTTAATAAGTTATCTGCTAACCTCTATTTTTTAAGCCCCATTGGATTATGTGTAATAATTGTTTTTAAAAGTGTTTAAAAAATTTAGAATTTAGAAAGTCCAAGCATAAAAAGAGTGTGAGAATTTTATATCCAGTTTAATAAAAATGAGTGTGTAACTTAAATGTTTTTATTGAAAAGAAGTATGCCTTGATGCTTTTGTAAAAATATTGGTTTCTATGCTAAAAGATTGTATCTGGGAGAAATTCAAGGAATAATCTAGCCCAATCTCCTAATTTAGAGAGGAGAAGTCTGAGAGCTAATGAGATTAAGTAACTTTTACTTTGAAAAAGAAAAAAGCAGTTTTCAGAAAAACCTGGCTAGTTTCAATCCTGATCAAAGGCTTTAAAATAATGTCTGATAGGTATTTTAAGACTAAGAAAAATCATAAAGTTACTGTGAAATGATATTATTTTTTAAATTTATTTTTAATAGTGTGTATTTTTTTTCCTTTCTAGTCAATTTATTAGGGTGACACCAGTTAACAAAATTATAGTTTTCAGGTGCACAATTCCACGATACATCATTGGTACACTGTATCATGTGAAATGATATTTGTACATTTTATTTTGGACATAGTACTGAGGGTTAAAAAATGGATTTTAATAACTATTGATAAGAGAAACCCACCTTATATTACTGGCCTGTAAGCACAAATTTACCACTTCTCTCCTACCTTTCTATGATTTCTATGATATACTCCAACAATCCTGGCTACTCTCAATTTTCCAAGTAAGCCATGCCCTTTCCACTTTCACACTTTACCTTTAACGTAGATGATCTCTCACTCCCATATTTGTCTGTCAGAACTCTATTTACTGTGTTCCATGTTGCATGTCAATTGGCCTGTTAACTACGCCTTCTCTGGTTACCCTTCAGAGGTTGGCAAACTGCGGCTCATGAGCCACATGCGGCTCTTTGGCCCCTTGAGTGTGGCTCTTCCACAAAATACCGACTTCTGTGCATGGGCCATGAAGTTTCAGTCGCACTGTATGTGCATGCCTGCATGTGGCATTTCGTGGTATTTTGTGGAAGAGCCACACTCAAGGGGCCAAAGAGCCACATGTGGCTCGCGAGCCGCAGTTTGCTGACCATGGCCCTAGACAAAGGCATTCTCTCTCTCTGTCTCTCTCTGTTTCTCTCTCTCTCTCTTAGTACCACATAATCTTGTGTTGCCTTAATAATACATTATAACATATAGATGTGTGTAATTGGAGTTCAGACCAAATGAAAGACACTAATGGTCACATAATTATCAATTTCATGTGGAATATTTTCCATACCTTCCTTGTTGGCTTCTGACACTGCTAACTGCTCATTCTTATGTCTTCCTATTATCTTCTGACAGCACAATTTCCACCTTTAACTGCTGCCTCTCTGTACCAGGACTCTGACTTTTGTTCATCTTCTTCCCTTGCTGTGGACTGAATTGTGCACCCGGCCCAAATTCACACATTGAAACCCTAAGAGTATTTGTAGATGAGGCCTTTAGGAGAGAATTAGGTTTATATAAGCTCTTGAGGGTGGGGCACTCCCATGAGATTAGTGCCAAATAGGAGAGATACTAGACGCAGCAGTTCTCAACCTGTGGGTTGTGACCCTTTCACAGGGTTCGCCTAAGACCATCAGAAAACATATATATAATTACATATTGTTTTTGTGATTAATCGCTATGCTTTAATTATGTTCAATTTGTAACAATGAAATTGGGGGTCACCACAACATGAGGAACTGTATTAAAGGGTTGCGGTATTAGGAAGGTTGAGAGGGTTTGTTCTCTC